CTCCTTCCCTCCTTGCATGATTCTTCTCTCTGCTTCAGCTGACATCCACCGAGCTAGAAGCAATGCATCTCATGATGCTTCCCCACTCTGGAAGTAGTTCTTGCGTGAGCATGGGCCTTCTCCCCTAGCAGATGACAGGGTTTGTGCCTCCTTCACCTCTGTCTCTCCAGCACTTGGCACACTGCTTTGGTCTGTGCTCAGGAAATGTTTGCTGAAGGCACCCACAAAGATGGGAGCTGAAACCTTGTTATGCCATGACAATGAGAGTGAAGGCACCAGGAACAGCACAATCCAACCCTGAGTGAGGAGAAGATCTTTTCTGAGGCATGCTGTGCCATGGTGCTGGGCTTCCCATGCAGATTAGACAAGTGTAGACAATCCTAGAACAGGGCTACCAGAAACCATTCTCTGTTTTCTAAATAAAGAATAAAGAATTTGATGTTTGAAATTTCAAAATGCCTTCACATGATCATCATAGGAAAATTCACAACTGTGTTGGACTTCCTCTTACTTTACAGTTTATAACTGTTCTTATTTTAATTACATTTTGCAGGGCCTGGGGGGTAGGATTGTTCATAATCTTTTCATTGCTTCAGCCTCTAAAGAGCTTCCAATTGTCCCTCTGAGACCTCCCTCTAGCATCCCTCCAGCATCTGAAAACTCTCACCTCAGGGGGAAAAAAAAGTGAAGATTCTATTCTTTCTCAGTTCTGCCAATTTAAGGCATGATTTCAGAGAAATCTCTAAGCCATTGTGTGCCTTGCTTCCTGCAATAGGAAGGTGGAAAGAATAACCATTTAGCACCTCATGACTGGTGAGAAATAGCTGGTGGTTAATGAATCAATGCAAAGGATGTTTCAGATACTGTTTTCATTACAATGCCCCATTTTCAGCTGGTGAGAGCAGAAGGCCCAGGGGTTGGTAGAGGAAGACATTTCAGGGCCCCAGGATAGAGAAGCCAACTCTTACTGGTCTGGCGGGAGGGGGGGGGGGGGGCGCCAGGGGGATACCTGGAGAGGGAGTATGACACCCTCCAAAAGTCCCTCCACTTCCCCAGGGTTCCATGCAACATCTGAAGCAATGACGTTCAACCAGCTCCCTTGGCAGAGTTGTATTTATTTCAAAATATTCAATTCCACGGGGCTAGCCAGTTGTTACAAATAACCCATCTACCCTCATCATCTCTTTTGGAATTATCCCAGAATGAATTTTTCGTTTTTGATACAGTTTCTCTTATTATTTTAAACATATACTGAGCACCTTTATCGATTTGTCTAATGGATGTTAGTATGATTACATTCTGTTCTATGGATGGAGATATATTTTGGTTCTGTAACTTCAGAAGGTTATGGTCACTGCAAAAATGTCCCACCAAGTTTAGAGGCCCACTTAAAAGTGTCTCTGCAATGTATTGCAAAACCAGCTATCTGGTAATCATTTATTAAGTGCCCAACTAAGGAGCCCTGGTGACGATGAGGGTTATAAATGCATATAAAATAAGGTCCCCGCTCTTGAGGAGCTGAATGCAGGATTTTTACTCCACTAGGAGTCTAACTACAATCGCTGCATTTTGCTCAACATTTCCTGCTTTTGTTGTTTTACTTATTTCAAAGTGCAGGACCTATAGGCAATCCTGGGACAGAGGTACGTGTTCCCTTAGTTGCCTCAACATATCCCTTTGGCAACATTTGGACATTGCTAGGAAGAACAGGTCTGCCCCACTCCCCCGGGAGACCCATAGCAAATGGAACCAAATGGAGAGGCTGTGACTGTTACTCTGAAGCCCTCGGTGAGCTGCGAGCCCACCACATCTCCTTGGTGGCTTCTTTTGACCTATAGACTTGTCCAGCAAACTACAGCATTTAAGTTCTTTCTTATTTGTTACTTCATTTAATTCTTGCAAGAACCCAGTAAGGCATTAAGTGTATTAACCCCACATCGCAAATGAAAATAAACTGAGGCCCAGAGATGGGCCAAAAGGTCACCCAGCAGTAAGTGGGAGCCTAAGACCCCAGGCCTCTGGAGATCTCTAGTGCTGCTTATACCAGCCCCCACGCCTACCCCCAGCCCCGACAAGACCACTGTGTTCAATCCTTCACAGTGACCAATGTCACAGAGTTGATTTAATCATTTCCATAAATGCCCCTTTGCCCTTTTCATGATATAAGCAGAAAGCTTTAAGTTTGGAAGGGATTTTCCAAAAATGACTTATAACTTCTTACCTTCCTGACTTGTGCTTTCAACTTAATCTCTGATCTGTTTCTAAATGTGTACCTGGGATTTCCGAATTTGCACAAGCAGATGAGGGAAGGGCACCTGCTTGGGGTAGATATCTCAAAACTGAAGAGAGGCAGGCTTTTAAGGGCACTATTTACATAACAAAAGGAGATTGGGGGGGGGCTGTTTGAGACACCATTTTTCTCAAAGGTCATACCCTATTTGATTTGTTAACAGCCAAAAACCTGAACTCAAATGTCATCCCCTAAAAAAGTTTTACCCAGTGAAAGAGCAAATGGTTTCCATGAGATTAAAATAGGACCTTCAGACATGAAAGAATAGCTATAAGGAAAAAAGTCATGAATAAACTTGAAATTTTTGCAGTTTTCCCAATTAAACAATGAATGAAACAAATGGACTACTTTAGCTGCCTTCTTTCCCTGTTCCTCTTAAGCTGAGAGGTCAATTTCAATTATAAAATACCAAAGTCAATTATAGATAACTACCTATTATTATAAGGATGCATTTATTGGGAAGACACAGCCCCCATGAATATGATTGCCAGGAGGGGATCCATGAAACACCCACTGCCATGAAAAATCTACCTGGTATGCCCCCCCCCCCCCACACGCCTCGGTGAGGTCTCCCCTGTGGTTAGATTCCACTGAGATCGCCAAGTCAGTGAGGGAAATTAAACCCTTTTTATTCACAGGTGCACATTTTTGTGCCACTGTACGTAGGTGGTTAAAAATGATCTTCAATAGAACCCCAAACACAATCAAAACTGAAAGAAAATCCGTTGCTATTTTAGCATTACAACAAGGAAATGCAAATTTAAGGAAGAACTTTTCATTTGCACAGTTCCTTGGTGACTAGGTATTAAAACATATTTGGATCCAGCAAGACATCTCATGGTTTCGGGAGCTCCACATTATAAAAGGTGTGAGTTACGGCCGCATTTCCTGCTGTTTTTTTGCTTCTCCATTTCTATCCCTTAAAAGTTCAGGAAGATAAATCTGGAAATATTTGAGAAGTGTCACATTTGGAAATTATTCAGGGTCTTGCCATCTTAATACTCTTTCTCCCGGGGTGAAATCGCCCGCCTTGCCCTTCATTACCAAGGGCACTTTTTTAATCACAGAATCTTTGTTTCTCAAGAGATATTTGCTGCTTCTGTTTATTCCCCCTGAAGTCACAATCCTTTGTCACAGGACAATCATTTCCACAGCAACCAACTGTGATGTCACAAGTTAAGGGGAGGAGGAATGTTTAGACAGAAAAGAGAACGAGAATGTTCTCTTCCACAGGCAGAGGTTTCTGAGTTTTAAAACCATTGCTTCCCTAGTCAAAATATTTTAGCAGAAAGACCCCATGACAAAGCTGCATTTCTTCAGGGTCTCAACTGTGACATACGAAGCATTTCAGCAGAAGGTGAAGGGCTGCATGTTGTGGGCTTAGGAAGGGGTACAAGTTTTTATTTCATTTCATTCTAATTCTGTAGCAGTGAAATCTGCCAGTAAAATACATTAAGCATATTCCAGAAAGAGTTGATTTACCAAACGAAAAATGTGTCTCCTGAGACCAGAGAAGGTACATTTTCTGTCTTACTATCATTTCCATAATAGGAACAATGTTTACATTTCCTCAGCCCATGCAGTGCCTCTAATGTATTCATGTTCTTTCACCCTCCAGAGGCAGGAATTGAGGTATTTGAGATTTTATTTTTTAGCTACCGCATCAAGCACTTAAGATCTGACAATTGTGATGTGTATTCTCACTTGGTATTAAAAAATAAAAGCCTCAGTGTTTGCATTTGATTAGAGTCTCTCAGCTTGGTGGCTGATGAGGCAGGAACAGGGAAGGCAACTTTCTTCAGAAACAGCATCTCGGTTAATGTAGTGTAAGATTATTGACGGGTGTAGTCACATAATTTTTATTAAATTGAAGAGATTAGCTCTGCTGAAGAATCTCACCGTGACAGCAAACTCTAGCCCTAATAATGAGACCTGACACTCTTCAAACCCACTCCAGGGCCCCAGATGGTCTTTTTTTCTAAATACTCATTCAGTTCAAGTAAGGGAAGAGCTTCGTTCAAATATTCAGCATATTTACCTGAAATTGAGTGTGCATTGCTTTTTTTTTTTTTTTTTTTGGAAGGATGATACAAAATCAGCATAAACATTTGTAATGCGAGCTTTAGCTATTTTCTTTCACCGCAAATGACACACGAGGTCTTCCTCCAGTTGCCTGAAATGCACACATAGCTTTTTCTCCAGATAGAGGCCATGGTGCCCACAAAGAAGTCATCAGAGAAGACCCTGGAACCGTGGAGCGTTGTGCCATTCGTTCGTTTAACGGGCATAAAATTGTTGCCTCTTCCCCTCCGGACTCAAAGTACCTCTGTTATCCCAATTTTCTGAGGGGAAGACTGAGAAAAGATGAAGGAGGGGGGCGGGGAGGGATAAATTTTGGAAATGAAGAAGTGTCCTACTCCACAGACTGAAGCAAGCAGAAAGAGCATATACTTGAGAGAGGGGGGAAAAGCACTTTTCCAGAACACAAAGAAGGCAGCAAATGAAGTCTATTTACATATTTCACGGGGGGTGGGGGCGGCTTGGAGAGGATTAATTAGTTCATGTTTGGCAAGCTGCCGCCCCGAGACAAGTTATGCAGAGGTGCTATCGTCACTTATTACTGTTATTAATTAACGGGGCGAACGCCAAACAAAAATAAGCCCCGCGGCGCGCTCTCATTTCTTAACACCGTGTGCGATGTCTATTGCAGGAGTGATTCGGGAAAGTTACCTCAAAGGCCATGACCAGCTCGTCCCTGTCACCCTCCTGGCCATTGCGGTCATTCTGGCTTTCGTCATGGGGGCCGTGTTCTCTGGCATCATCGTCTATTGCGTCTGCGACCACAGGCGCAAAGACGTGTCCGCCGTGCAGCGCAAAGAGAAGGAGCTCCCCCACTCGCGCCGGGGCTCCATGAGCAGCGTCACCAAGCTCAGCGGTCTCTTTGGGGACACCCAGTCCAAAGACCCGAAGCCGGAGGCCATCCTCACACCACTCATGCACAACGGCAAGCTCCCCACGCCCGGCAACACGGCCAAGATGCTCATCAAGGCCGATCAGCACCACTTAGACCTGGCGGCCCTGCCCACCCCGGAGTCCACCCCGACGCTGCAGCAGAAGCGGAAGCCCAGCCGCGGCAGCCGCGAGTGGGAGAGGAACCAGAACCTCATCAACGCCTGCACCAAGGACATGCCCCCCATGGGCTCCCCTGTGATCCCCACGGACCTGCCCCTGCGGGCCTCCCCCAGCCACATCCCCAGCGTGGTGGTCCTGCCCATCACGCAGCAAGGCTACCAGCACGAGTACGTGGACCAGCCCAAAATGAGCGAGGTGGCCCAGATGGCGCTGGAGGACCAGGCGGCCACCCTGGAGTATAAGACCATCAAGGAGCATCTCAGCAGCAAGAGTCCCAACCACGGGGTGAACCTGGGGGAGAACCTGGACAGCCTGCCCCCCAAAGTCCCCCAGCGGGAGGCCTCCCTGGGCCCTCCGGGAGCCTCCCTGTCTCAGAACGGCCTGAGCAAGCGGCTGGAAATGCACCACTCCTCCTCCTACGGCCTCGACTATAAGAGGAGCTACCCCACGAACTCGCTCACGAGGAGCCACCAGGCCACCACTCTCAGAAGAAACAATACTAACTGCTCCAATTCCTCCCACCTGTCCAGAAACCAGAGCTTTGGCCGGGGAGACAACCCGCCCCCCGCCCCGCAGAGGGTGGACTCGATCCAGGTGCACGGCGCGCAGCCCTCGGGCCAGGCCGTGACTGTTTCGCGGCAGCCCAGCCTCAGCGCCTACAACTCGCTGACGAGGTCGGGGCTGAAGCGCACACCCTCGCTAAAGCCGGACGTACCCCCCAAACCCTCCTTTGCCCCGCTTTCCACATCCATGAAGCCCAGTGACGCGTGTACATAATCCCAGGGGGAGGGGGCAGGTGTCGAACCAGCAGGAGAGGCCGGGCGCGCGCCCAGCTCGGCGAGGCCCTCCGCTGCCTGCGTACCCACCAGACCAAGACGGCCGCGGCGGAGCGGAGGACGCTGGGTGCGCCCCTCGGGGGCGCAGGGGACTCTGGAAGCCTGGGCCACGTGGTTGGGTGAAGGTTTGCGACGCGGGACTCACCTCCATTCTCTGACTGCACTCCCCCCTCACAGCGCGCAGCAGGTCGGACTCACGGGACTTAAATTACCATCGCAAACCTGAGCCAAAAGCACACACCCGCCCACCTTCCCACGCATGCGCGCGCGCCCCCGCACGCGCGCGCGCGCGCCTCCCCCACCCGCGCCCGCGCCCGCCCCCGCGCCCGCCCCCGCGCCCGCGCCCGCAGGTGAGCGATGACTGCAACGTGTTGTCCGTGACTGCACCGCGCGCCTGCTAACAGGGCTGGCGTTCCACCTGCAAAACACAGATGCATTTTTAAAAATCATGAAAATTAAAAAGACAAAAAAATAAAGAATTCATTGATAATTCTAACTCAGAACTTTAACAATGGCAGAAGTTTACTATGCGCAGATACTGTGAAATGCCCACCAGTGTTACCGCTTTCTGTTATTAGCAGATGAATGCCATGTTGGGCAACTACGTCATAGATTTCTGCTCCTCTCTTTTAATGAAATAACGTGACCGTTAACGCAAGTAACGCTTTATTTATTGTTCACCCTTTTTTTCCTTAAGGAAAGGACTCTTCCACATACCAACCTATGAACAGCTCTTCAGAAAGCCCCTGGAAAGTTAAACTATTTAACGTGAAATCCATTAACTGGAATAATTGAGTTTATTTTTACAATAAATTCACTGAGTAAATAAGTTGGAGCTGCAATTCTGAGCTTTGTGTTTGGACTGTCTGATCTCTAGCTAAAAGAAAACGTGCAGAGAGAAATATTTATTTAAATCAACCAGTTAATTTGCTGGTCAGGTCTCTGGCCCTATAACATGCAAAAAATTAATTAGTTTAAAAGTCCTTCCAGATCCTAATTTCTAAAGCAACCGGGAGAGGAACTTTTAGAATGACACATCCTGCGTCCCATTTGCTGCCAACAATGTGGTTGTCAGTGGTTCCTACTTTCTGTGAAGGCACCAGCTTGTGATACCCATCTCATTTCACCTTGCATGTGAGACAGCAAACAAAATCCACTAAAGGCGTGAACTAATTAATATGCTGGCTGCTACCTTGCATAAATTAATGGTTTGCTCACACGGGTTTTTCGTGGGGTTACATCTGTGAATAGCCTCTTTTCCACATGTAAATTTGTGCCTTACACCCTGAGTTGTGTACACTTGTAAACTGTCGTTATGATAAACTTCCCCCCCCCCCCCCCCCCCCCCCGCCTTTTGAAATAAATGCAGCTATTTATTTGACCCTCCCTCCCCCCACCCCCACTCCAGCCCTCTGGAAGATTAGCATCTAGCAGATGGAAGAAGAATGCAGTGGTGGTGGTTATAAGCCTGCCCCCCCAGGAGAGCTAGGCAGCCAGCACGCCCTCCGATTCACTTCCTTCTAGTCGTGCCAACTCCGACCGCCCTTTGGCCATGCTACCAAGCATGGACACCGGTGTTGAGGGTGGCAATACCCATTCTCCCTCCAGAGCTCCCTGCTTCCCTGGTATTCTCAGATCATTTCAACATGGTGATATCCTCATTGGCCAGCAGAGAAGGGACTAACGTCCCAGCCCTCTTTTCCGCTGGATCCACCGGCTGGAGAACACGCTGTGTGAGGTTGCCAGGCACCTGGGAGGTGTCTCCAAGCCATGGGCTCAGCATGCACGTGCCCTGCACACAAAGAAATGACGTGGAAGTAGATGCAGGCAGGCTGGTCCCTGCTGTGATGGATGAGTAACTCCAAGTACAAAGCCAACCACAATGGATGCTGCAAAAACATTGACTGGGGCAGAAGATTTTTTAATTTTTTAACAAATTTCTTCAACCATTTGTTGTTCTTGTTTGTACGGGGCGGGGTGGGGGTGTGTTTTCCCCCCTTGGTTCTCATTAGCTCAAGCACATAGAGGGGACTATTGTTTACTCTATCATGAACAAAAGAACTGTCAACGTAATATAAACAGTGAGCATTGTTTGGGGTTGTTGTGTTTTCAAACAGTATATTTGGTGGCCTCTGTCTCTTTTTATTTCCAGTTTGATCTTCTGGGTTTGGTCTTGTCTTAAAAAAAAAAAAAAAAAAACTTTCAAAGAAAGACTACTGGGGACAATTTTGAGTTGGCTGATGAAAAAGTGGTACCTGCGTAATCAGAGTGAGACCTAGGTGTGTCTCGAGGACTCACGCATTAGCTTTGTGTTCCTGCAAACATCCCTCGCAGGTTTGCTGTCTTTCGGGGTGGGCTTCTGTTGTTTTGTGTTATGTTTTTATTCTGTTTTGTTAGCAGAATCAACGTTCACACCCCATGAACTCTATACCCTGAAACCGCAAAGTCTTTTCTAGAAACGGAGATCATTGTTTTTTCCCTCGTCCCCGAAGCTTGACCCCTAAGAGTATTGACAAGGGAGCCCCCGCTCTCGTGTCCCCATGGGTACCTCAGCTGTGTTACAGAGACCTCTGTCAAAACTTCCGTCCCACATCCCCACCTCCCAACAACTCATCACTTGTGGTGTTCTCCCTAAAATGCCCATATGTATTGAGCTGGTTGTTTGCATTTAAGTATTTTTTTCCCTTTTCTTTTTTTTTTTTTCCCCACTGTGTGTGGGGGGAGGGTCCATAAACCTGAGTGTGCCTTTGCTTTCCACCCTTGCTAGACACTGGTAGATGCAACAAACTCAGATTTATATTTGTTGTAAAGTTGTAAAAATATTGTGATGTCACCAACTTTCCTTCCATCTCCACATCCCCTAACATCTGATTCATGACTTAATGTATGTTGTAAAACAGAAAAAAGAAAAGAAAAAAAGGGGGGGGGGAAGACAAAAAAAAAAGCAAGGAAAAGGCTCTTTATTACTTAAAAGTAATAAAACAAGACTGTTCTACATTATCGTTTGTGTCCTGAATGCTTTTATTTATCTCTTACTTTTTTCCCTTTTGAACCCCACCCTTTTGGGGGTTGGATTCTACTCTTTCCCCATCTCTGTCTGGTTTCCAGAGCATAAATAACAATGTGGTTAGACCCCGTTTGTTTGCAGTACTCACACCCTGCCCACCTACCCCCCAAATTATTGATGTGTTTTCTCTGCCCGCACCCAGCCTGGGGTGGGGTTATAGCAGAAGTCACCAGTAATTAAAAGGCAGGGCACGCACTGACTCCCTCTATTCATTTTATGCGTTTTCTTTTTATGGGCTTGTTCATCATCAAACATTTATGGTAGGCTTGATAGTTTAAGAGATCAAGGCTAGGATTTTAGTATGTAGGGTCCACTAAAAATAGATCCTTGCACAGATGTGACTTCAGCCTTTTTACATATTAATAAGATGGAGGGTGCTGATTTTACTCCTTGTTAGCATTTCTCTCTTGTAACCCCGAAGAACACACGGTTGGAGGTATATTGGGATGCAGCCCTGTTATTTTGCAGACTAGCTTTGCGAAATGCCTAGATAAGGTTTTCCCCTCTGGAGTATTTTTAAAACAGTTATTTAAATAAGCCCTCAGCTACAGTATTTTACTTTTGACCTCCTCAAGTCATTTTTTTTTTTTTTTTGAAGTGTTTCAGGTCAGTTTGCATGTGGGAAGCTACGGGTTGGGCCCCAGGTCACACCTATAGTGATCCAGTTACCTTTGGGTATTTCCAGTTACATGTGAATCCCACCCCGAGGGCCAGGCGTGTCAGGCACAAAGTTGACTGGAATATGGTTCTTGGCTCCTCACTTTTAAGGAGAGATGGGCAGGTTCTCTGTAATGGCCACCAGGAGGTAGGAAAAAGTGCTGAGGGAGTGGCCCAGAGGTTGGGGGCACAAGACTACATTTGAGCTGGTTCTGTTGTTTTGGGTTTTGTTTTGTTTTTTTTAAGATTTATTTATTTATTTATGAGAGAGAGCGCATGAGCCTAGGGAGGTGGGCGGAGGGAAAGAGAATCCTGAAGCAGACTCCACGCTGAGTGCAGAGCCCCACATGGGGCTCGATCCCAGGACCCTGAGACCATGACCTGAACCCAAATCAAGAGTCAGACCCTCAACCGACTGAGGCACCCAGGCGCCCCTGAGCTGGTTCTTTAGGGAATGAGCTCTCTGGGCAGCTAGACCAGGCACAAGGGATGACGTGTACGAAGTCACCAGGTGCGCTGTGATTGGGAGACAAAAGGTTTATCGGGCCTTGAGCAGGGGCTGTGAGAGAACCTGCTGGAAGCAAGGCTGGGAAAGGGGAGACCAAGAGGGACCTGGTTACCGTGTGCTAGGATTTTAGCCGATGGGCAGTGGAGAGCCTTTGGAGTAGATGAAGAAGCAGACACATGTGTTTGTGCTTTAGAAAGCTACCTGGCAGCAACGTGGAAAATGGATTGGTCCCGAGAAAGGCCGTGGGCCACGGGGCAGTGTGCCAAACGGCATGCCAAGTAGGTAGAAACACCGCAAGCAAAAACTCCTTGTCTGACTTCGGATTCTTTAGGAAACAGAACCGAATCAGCTCTGTGACCATCCCCCCTTTGCCAGACCGAAGATCTTCCTTCTCCTTGTGTGACCCACAGGCGTGCCCTGCCCGGCTCTAGCCAAATATAAAACTGAAAGAATGGGCAACAGCTCGTCTGAATTTATTTCTTAAAAAAATGGGGAAGCTGAGATCCGTTGAATGAAGGGATTTGCCCATGATCGCAGAGCTGGTGGTGGAGCAGCTCTTCCAAGAACAAATTCATTGCCTCTTACCCCCATTCATTTATAACATTAGAGCAGGACTAGCCAGGAAGACCTCACCACACCCACACCCACCCTCCCAACACCCCCCACACGCCTGCAGCCCTTAGTGCATGCGTCCCCCTTACCCAGTGGGACATCCCAAATGCCTTCGTCTGGGCTGAGTCAAGGGGGATGGGGGCTGGAGCAAGAATCAGACCGGTGGGAAGCCCGACAATCCCTGCCTCGCAACCTGATCCCCGATTTGGCGGATCTTGCAGCAGTCAGCTTTGTTCCAGTCTGGTGAAGGGGTGACGAGAACTGAACAGGTGCGCCCGGCATTTTTGCTGGGGCCCCCGGGATGTCCTCGCTGAGACTCAAAAAGTGCCTCAGATAACGCAGCTTTTTCATTGTTGTGTTTGCTTGCTGGCTGCGGGCTGAGCAGTTTCTGCAGGGGGGTTTCAGACTGTCGGCCCTAAGGAGGGGCTGTCCCAATACAGCCAACGGGCTAGGCGTTCTAGGGGGCCGCAGCCTGCGTCTGAGACCTGCCAGGTTCCGTAAGTGCCGCGTCAAGTGAACCCAAACAGGTCTCGTTGTTCAGCCTTATAATTCAGCCACAAAGTGTGGCCCCAGAACCGCACTGCCCAGAACAAAGGCTCCTTCGAAAAAAAGTCATTCGGCAAGTTAGCATAGAGGTATCTTGAAGGGCACCTAACCATGTCCGGCCCTGGCATGTTTTTGCTTGAGGGAAAGGGGCGAGGGGACCGTAACAGAATAACATGATTAAGAGCATAATCCTCGTCCTGGCTGAGCACTGTGACAGCCTGCGCTCAGTAACCCTTAGAAACCCCCATCTCACGCCGGTCTTAAACCCAGGTGGTGACGTGTCTCTTGCACAGAATTGGGAAAGAAGGGCTCACATTTATTGATCGGGACTGCCAGACAGATGGGGATCTTCAATATTCCATTTAGAGTATTGTGTATCCTTAGCTCTAACCGCCCCCCCCCACCCCGGGGATGCCTGGAGGTGGGGGGCGGTTGACCTCCACAGAGGGTTGGGCTGCACTATGTGCATTAAATGTGGCTGGGCAGAAAAATGTGCAGATGTCCCTCTAGCAAATGGAAATGAAATTTGAGCAAATCAAGAGAGGCAGCTGAGTCGTGGGGAGCTCCCCCCATTCCCCTCTGCAAACACGTCTGCACACACATGTGCACACAAATGCCTATCACAAGGCTTTTTCCTCTTGGGTCTAATACCCAAAACGTCACAGAGGTCAGAACCCATGTTCGCGGAAGGTGGACCTTTGGAAGGTCTTTTGCCCCTTTTCCTGGTAAACCATGGGTTCCACCTGAGCATGTTCTGGTCAAAAATAAACTGTCATAAACGACAGCCTCAAGAACGGAAGCCAAGACTTCGCAGAGGTTCCTTTTGGCTCCGTCAACAATAAACTCAGGTGGCCGGCAACTTTCTTATTCTCCTAATCACTTTCACATAGGAGACCCTCTTGAGAATCATTAACATCATCCCCAGAGCAAGTCATTGGTCCTGCTAATGGGCTGCAATAATGGTCCAAATAAGGGGACGCTAATGAAGGGGAAAAATAGGTAACCATGAAATCAGAAGCATTTCTCATTGATGATTTTCGGCCAAAAAAAGAGAGGAAGGTGACATTGGACACAATACCAAACGCCAGGAAACCAACATGAAAGAAATTCAGGCGGGATTCCCGGGGGGGGGTGTCCTAGGATGAGCCAGATGATGGAAAATCTGTGTGAGAGCCCAATGCTCTCTTTTCTCCTGCTCATCATGACAACTGCCCTCACCGTGTTATGGGGTTGGTAAGGACATGGGCTGACCTTGGCAAACTTAGTATCTGTTCTCTGGTGTGGATACTGAACATTTTGCACACATAGTGTGAAAGCATGAATTTCCACAGTAGGCTAAGGTTTATTTCAAAGACTTAATCTTGTCCCTGACATGGCTTGATCCTCATCACAGCTTCGTGGGGTGAGTCAGCCCACATACGATCAGTACAGAGACTGGGATTTGGAGAGAAGGAATCCATTGGATCACGGATCACCATGAAAATGTAGTAATGTTTCAAAAACCTGTGCGCTGACGTCACCCCCTCAGCCCTCTTGGGAACACCTCAGGTTACACCAGCACTCTGCTTCACCAAAGGGGAAAAGCCTTCTACAGCATTTCCCAGGAGAAGTGATTACAACAATATAAAGGCTAGGCACACACGTTCTATTTTAAGGGCATTGTGCTCTAAGATTTTTCCATCACTGAAGAATACATCTCTTCCTTCCTGCGTCTGCAAAGTCCTGATGCCAGCAGTGTTATTAGGAACTGTCAACAAAGCAGGAAAAGGGAGAGACAAAG